GACACGTGAGGTCATTTTCTTCCCAGTCTCCCCACCTTTCTTTTGCATGCCTGGATGAGCTGTGTCAGGACAGAAGAACTTTTTGTTTCGAAATGGACACTTGCCATTGGACTGCAGCTTTTAGGCAAAGCAGAAGAACAGACGCATGATTAGCCAAGGTGCCTTGTCATACAATAGTTTCTCAGTGTTGAACCAGTTTCTCCAGGCAGACTCAGCCAGTACAAATGTTAGAACAGCAGAGGTGCTGGAGATCTAGCCACATGGAAGAAGTGCATGGGTCTCTTCCAAGTGCTAAATTGAGTGCCCTTCTTGCTGTGGTTTTCATTGCAGATAGTGGCTTTGCTCACAGCCACCTCCTTCAAGAGAACCTCATTGACTTCTTTGTACCATTCCTGCCCTTGGAGTATCACCATGTGAAGTTGTGTGTTCGGGACGCTTTTCTGGCCCGCAGCCTTCCATACACTGAGGACATGCTGGAGGAGGTGGTCAGGATGATGGTTTTCATCCCCAAAGAGGAGAAACTCTTCTCTGCACAAGGTTGTAAATCCGTGTCTCACCGCATCAACTACTTTCTACCCTGAATGTCAGAGGGAACTATACTAGTGACCAGCATGGCTGCTTGCTGCACCAAGAGACTCTTTCTCTTGCAAGAGCAGATTGAAAATTCACCCATTTGCACTGCAAAGGAAATCTTTGAAGTCTCATAGAACTGGAGAGGCCTCTAAGGACTGCTCAGATTATTACACCTGTGGACTTGTGTGGCACCTGTACAGCCTTGAGCTGGCAGAAAGCTGGCTATACATTTGTTGCCCAGTGTAAGTTCCTTCTCTTAGCAAGTAGCTGAGAACAGAAGCCATCATTAGCTGTTGCTAATGAAGAATCCTGGCTGGCAAATAGTGGCCTGCTTCACATGAGCAGAGTTGGTGCAGGATCTTTGGTTTATTGTGGGGCGAGGAGTGTTGAGCTAGCTTAGTATCTTCAGTAGGAAAGTCTGAAGAGGTCACAGAAGCCACTTCCTTGCTGCCTCTCCCAATGCATAATTTGCAGGCCTGCAAAGTAAAATAAGTGCAGTAGCTGCGGGTAAGACGGTGATTGAGTTTAGGTTTTTCACCATCTCCCCTTGGGGGACTAGTCTGAGTGAGAGAGAATTTGTCTCCCAGAATCCTTCTTGCCAAACCAGCTGGTTCACAGTCACGAGAGGAGAAGCTGTCCAGCAAGGGTGAGAAACAGCTTGAGTAGCGATTGGGTGTAAGAATCACATCTGCAGCCTCCACGTATGGCATCCCAGGTATAGAACCCAGACTTTGAGGTGTCATTGCTTTGTGGTCACTTCCATGCAGGACTCCAAGTGAGAGGACAAATGCAGTGAGCTTATGGGCAATGCAATCTGGTGATATTAGCCAGCATCTTCCACTCCCTGGGGCAGCTCTTGCTGTGCACACAGCGTGCCCAGCTTCCTCTGGACAAACTCTTTCTGCAGCATTCATTTAAGGGGGCTCTCAATTGCAGCATTTTGGCCTCTGCACTGCTCTGATAAATCAAGAGGACCAGAGTACAGAGTAGCAGACTGTCCTTGCCTACGTCAAAGTTTGGAGAGTGATAACTCTGCTGTTTGATTACTATTTCATAGAGTACCTAGGATTTCACTGTTACACACTCTGGCTTTTGGCCAAAGACCATGTTACTACAAAAGGGACTGTTTGCGGTCTCGCGTACTTGCCAAATGATTTTAAAACCCCAAAATGTCAACAACGCTGGGGGCAACAGAGTGAGAGAAGCTGCATAATCACTTAATCTGTGGTGTATAGGTCAAAAGTTAGGATGAGGTGGAACAGCACATGCTGAGGACAGAGTTCAGCAGCCTGGATCTTGAACTATTTTAGGTGTTAAAACATCAAAACTGTGCCCGTGCTTTCCAGGCAGCTCACGTACTCACTTTGGAAAGAGTCTGACAAGGTATGTTTTATCTAATTCCCATTGGGTTTAAAGTCTCAATCCTGCCCTGCTTCAGCCTGAACAATAGAAGTGTAATAAACCAATGTTGCTAATTATCCTTCAGTGTCTTAAAGTATATAAAAACAGCTATACTGGGTCTAGCCCAGTGTCCTATCTTCCAATAGTGGCCAAGTGCCACATGCCCCAGCGGAAGTGAACAAAACAGGGAGTCGTTTTGTTTTCCAGCCCCTTGACAAATAGAGGCTAGGGATACCATTCCCCCTCATCCTGGCTAATAGCTATTGATGGACCTAAGCTCCATGAATCCATCTAGTTCATTTTTTGAACCCTATTAAAATCTTGGTCTTCACAACATCCTCTGGAAAGGAGTGCCACAGGTTGACTGTGCTGTGTGAAGAAAAACTTCCTTTTGTTTTTATTGGTAAGATATTAGCAGCAGCATTAGTTATATGGCCATTGTAGAGAAGAAGAAAAAATACTTATACAAATGCTTCATGCCTGTCTACTTTTCCAAGCTAGCCAAGGTGTTAACAGTTTATTACTCACTCTCTCTCTCTGCTTCCTTTCACTTGCAAGTACATGTGCCTTTAAAAAATATATATATTTTTTAAATCACAAACCATTAGCTGGTCATGGAATAAGACCAAAAGAAAGCCTGCTCTTCAAAGCTTCCTATTTTTCTCATCTAGGTTAAAGGGAAGAATCTAAATAGTGTAGATTCAGCTGTAGGGTGTCAAAAGCTGAGATCTAAGCTGTCATGGGATAAGAGGGAAGGTTCTCATGACAAGATAGGAAACAAAGGGTCTGTTTTCAGAATGGAGAGGGGTAACTAGTGGTGTGTCATTGCCGCCCCTGGGAGTCTGTACTGAGACCAATCCTATGCAACATTCAAAAATGATAAGGAGAAAGAGATACAGTGAGGTGGCGAAATTTGTATTATGCATTGAAAACAAAATTCTTCAAGATAGTTTAAGTCCAAAGCAAACTGAAGAGCTTCAAAAAAAAGACCCTCAGCTAGGTGACTGAGCAACAAACAGGCAGACAAAAGTCAATGTTGATAAATGCAAAGTAGTGCATATTAGAAAACAATCCCAACTGTAAGTATAAAATGGGGACTAAATCAGCTGTTACCACTCAAGAGTGAGCGCCTAGAATCAATGTGACTAGTTCTCTGAAAACATCCACTTAATGTGCAGCAGCAGTTAAAAAATGGGCATCATTAACAGAGGGACAGAGTAGGGGTGGCCAACCTATTTAACAAGAGCCAAAACAGCAGGGGAAAAAATGCAGAGCTGCACCAGAATTGTCAAGCACAAAAAAACCTAAACCCCTCCCCCCGGAACAGAACTGAGCGAAAACAAAAACATTTTTTAAAAAGGAAGCTGCCCCACCTTCAAGACAATGCAAAGTAGTGCATATTAGAAAACAATCCCAACTGTAAGTATAAAATGGGGACTAAATCAGCTGTTACCACTCAAGAGTGAGCGCCTAGAATCAATGTGACTAGTTCTCTGAAAACATCCACTTAATGTGCAGCAGCAGTTAAAAAATGGGCATCATTAACAGAGGGACAGAGTAGGGGTGGCCAACCTATTTAACAAGAGCCAAAACAGCAGGGGAAAAAATGCAGAGCTGCACCAGAATTGTCAAGCACAAAAAAACCTAAACCCCTCCCCCCGGAACAGAACTGAGCGAAAACAAAAACATTTTTTAAAAAGGAAGCTGCCCCACCTTCAAGACAGGTGCCATTTTTAAAACCCCGCAGCTCTCACCCTGTAAGCACAGGGAAGGCGGGGGCCATTTGCAGGGGTGCAGGAGCAGCTTGGAGAGCCACACTTTTGGGGCACAAGAGCTGCAGGTGGCTTGCAAGCCACGGGTTGGCCACGGCTGGGACAGAATAAGAAATATCTTATTGCTACTATATTAATCCCCCTTGGTATAGCCACATCTTGAGGTAACCATACCTGCACGCAGTGTTCATGTCAAGAGAAAGTAAATAAGGAAGAATTATTTATTTCTTCCCATAACACAAGAACATACATGAAATAAGGAAGTACTTTACATAGCCGGGTTCAAAAAAGAACTAGATAAATTTATTGAGGCTAAGTCCATCAATGCTAATTAGCCAGGATGGCATCCCTAGCCTCTGTTGGTCAGAGGTGGGAATAGATCGATCACTTGATGATTCCCTTTTCTGTTCATTCCCTCTGGGGCCCCTGGCATTGGCCACTGTCAGAAGACAGGATACTGGGTTAGAGGGATCTTTAATCTCACCCAGGTATGGCCATTTTTGTGTTCCCCTTTTCTAAAAGCAGCACCAAGAAAAAAGGGGTTTTTAGTAACTAGCCCTAGAGAATTTCAAATCCAAAAAAGTTGAGACAAAAACTGATGAGATAAATCCTTAGACTCAGTAATTAGCCCATTGTACAGTTGAGAAATAGGCATGTGTGATATTCAGTTCAGGCACAAATAATCACCATGCCTGGAAATGAGTGGCTGCAGTCTGGCTTGAATGCTCCTGTTTCAGTGAGGTTAAAATATTGGGAGAGCTTTGCAAATCTCTCCAGTTAAATGTTTGTTTTTTATATGTTTGCAGGGATGTTCAATTTTTAAACTCAATGCACCAACCTTTAATTTAGAACCAAGCAAGTGCAACCACTCCAATAAAAGCACCACATATTCAAGTTTGCCAATAAAATATTGCAACTTTTATTTAAAACAAAATGCAAATTGGCAAAAACTTGTGGAACAACAGGCAAAACCTTATTTACATCAAGTTTAACACTGTTTGCAGTTCACAGTCGGACAATAGAGTGAGAATTAAATTAGGAAAACAATCAAAAATATATTACAATAACAATTATTAAACAAAACAATTAACAACACTGGTAGTGTGATTGGTGATTAAGGTGTTTAGTTTAATCCAGTATTGTCAATGAATTCACTACAGATACAAACTGTGTGCTGAGCTGATCATAATTTTTAACCCCTGTGCACAACACACACGTTGGAAGAGTGACCCTTTGGTATAGACATTTAATTTGAGAGAAATAAATCAGGTCTTCAGTAATCTAGCCTACTCCATATGGGTAGCAAATTATAAAGATTTTTTTCTATCTGCCAGCTCCACTGACCATCCATGCAAAATCCTCTTGCCTAAGGTTCTGGAAAGCATGCTGCACTCAGCATAAAGGAGGTTTCTGCACATGCTCTTGTCACTCGTTTCTGTTTGTGGCAAGCCTCTGGAAGCTATGTATTAGGCATTGAAAACAAAGTAGTGATTGCCAGCCTGTCACTTGCACTTGTGAAAAAGTGAAACCCATTGCTTGCCAGAGAAGTCAGAACCCTAGAGACCCTGATCACACTGTATTGGAGACATCCTGGAGTGGTGCTTTGGTCACACATCTCCTTTTAAGTGACAGCACGAATAGCAGGTAAGGTCTTTTCGCACACACTGGTCCCAATTGTGAAGCTCTTACTTAGGCTAGTGCCCTAGGGCTTTGGAGGGAGGCTGAATAAAACACAATAAGGAATTCAGGATATGGCATGTGGCAATTACTAACTCCAAAAAGACCGAAGCTTTTCAATCCACAAGGGAACTGATGAATATTAACACAAACACTGGTGCTCTATAAAACAAAGCAGTTAGTTGTGTCATCATCACATCCTACTGTGCTACCTTCCACAGCACAAAATGCTGCCAAATACCTAGCACTTTTAAAAAAGGTTGTGGAGACCATCTGGCATAGCTTACATATATATTCAGTGGCTTGCACAGGTAAGAGCTTGCAAATTGAACAGTGGTGCAACTCCCAGAACGCTAATGTTACGTTGGGGAGGGAGGGGGATCAGACCACTGAGAAAGCTATTCCAGTGGGATTATGGGGCCACCAAGGCTATATGGCTATCTATATTCGTGTCAGCACTTTCAATGCTACAAAGGAATGTAGAGAGCAGCGAGATTCTGCCTTGATTGGAGGCAGTGCCTTGCCAACGGTGGAGCTCCAGGTGACCACACAAGAGGGAACTAACATTGTACCAAAGTTAAAAACAAACTACAGTTTTATCAACAGACACTGATAAGTTGTGCAACAGCCTCAAACTACTCACAAGTGACCAACTGTCAGGTAGCACCCATGCTAGACTACCAGCAATGGTTAGAGCCAACCAAAGGTGAAGACTGTGTGTTGTGTTTTAGGGGAGGAAAAGGGCAGGTGACCAGTGACAAATCTGCCCAGCATGCCTGATGCTTCAAATATGAATGTGTAATGGTGTGCAATGGGTGGGAGGGAAAGGGATTAGTTTAATATATTAACTCATTTGGCAGTTCTTACTACAGCAGCAACAGTCCTGTGGAAGTATGCCACCTGGGCTAGTGCATTCACTTCCAGCAGCTCTGAACACCGTCAGTGCGTTACACTTCCTTCCCTACAACCAAACAGACTCTTCCCTCTTCGGACAACTCATGCTCAGAATTTTCAGTATTAGGTATCAACTGTGCCCAACTGCCTTTCCCTTGTGAGCTCTGGAGGCCAAAATATGCATTAGTGCACACAGAGGGGAGGATCTGTGCAGCTAACTGGCCGTGCAGCCACTCCAGGACTGGACAGCACATGGAAACCACCCCTACCAAAACAAGAACCCGCCATCGATTCTCCTGCCTCTGGAAGGCAGCAGCAAGGAATGTCTCTCCTCGTAGACACAAGCAGACCAGATTTGCTGATGGGAAATTCTTGACATTCTGCCCTTTCAGCTTCAATCTCTCGCACACACACACCCCCTTCCTCCATTGTCTCCTCTCTCCCTCCCCCTATTTTTGAGATGAATCTGTAAACTCGAGGAGAACTCTGATCTGAGGTACAGCACAAAAACTCACTCAAGTATCAGTCTTTCCTTTTGAAAGCATCAATACAGGAACAGAGTTTCCCCTCCATGTGTAATTTTTCCTTTACCCAAATTGACAGTAGCTACCTTTGAACCACATCACTGATTTCTTGGACACATGACAATAAGTTATTAAGGACGGGATTTGTCCCGGGCACACTAGCAGCTGTTGAGGACACCTGCAGTTCCTGCAGGCTGAGTTCCAGTTTGCTCACGGCTTCCCGGAAGGCAAATTTGTTGCGTGTTTGTGGGATGCAGTCCACATAGCCTGAGCAGTAATCCAACAGCTGGTGCCCTGTATCCACCAGCTGGCTGTTTGGCGTGGGCTCGGTGATGGCACTCGAGAGGAGGTCTGCACACTCCAGCAGCGCCTCCTTGCTGATTTTGTCCGCTGAGATTTTCTCAGCTGCCTGTTTGGTCTTTCTTAATGTCACCTTAGCACCTGCCGTGCCATTGGCCATTTTGGCTGGGGAGGTGGACGAGGATGACAGAGGCACTTGAGGTGGAGGCATCATGGGCCTCCCAGATTTTCCACCATGTGCCACCACTGCCTTTTTACCACCTTCACTTGTTTCTAGTCCGTGCTGTGCTGCGGCGGTGTTGCTCAACTCTTCTGCTGTGTCTGAGCAAGTGGGCGGCTGTTGCAGGAGCCTCATCACTGGCGGTGGAGGTGGGGCACACTTTGGTTTTACCCGTCTGGGCCGGTCCCTGTCGCCGGAAGATGTGACCTGATGCTCAGATAAGAGCTTAAATTTATTACCCTGAGAGTCTGTGCCAATAAGCTGCACATCTGCTGGAGTATGTTTTAGAGTGGGTGAGATTAGGACTGGCACTTTGTGGTTATGAGTGGTTGGAAGTATTGCTGCGGCCTTTGCTGGGGAAGACCATCCTGGTCTCTCTCCATCTTCTAGGGCCGCTTGCCGTGTACTGGTGTTTTTTTCTTTGCTCTTAGGGGCTGTTGCCAGACCTGGACAGTCCTTCTCTGCAATAGCTGAATCCCCTGAAGCTGTTCTAACTGGAAGAGCAGTGGCACCTCTTGGCAAGAGTTTAGCTTTCGGTCTCTCTCTGGTCAGAACAGGGCCGTCTTCAAGCTTTTTGGGGAGCAGGTCATTGGCTCTACCTGTAGTCTCCTCTGGCTGAGAGGAGGTGGACACTGTCCTTTCCAGCTGTATTTTTGACCTCTGACAATTTCTAGGAAGAGTCATTGCCATTCTGTCCTGCTCTGGAGGCCCTGAAGACATGGAAGATGTAGAATTTGACCTTGGAAAAGGCTTTGAAGCTTCTTCACCAACAGTGGGTTTCCCTGCTCGTAAACCCAGGGTCTTTTTAATCAAGCGCGGTGTAAAGAAACCTGTGATGCCTGACCACCCACCACCAGTGCTTGTGCCCCCACCACCGCTGGTACCACCACTGTCATCACTGTAAAAGCTCCTCTGTGCAAAGCCCCCTCCGTAGCATTTGGCTGCAGCCAGGCTTGCATCCTGCTGAGGGGGTGGGAAAGAAAACCCATCGACATGCTGCAAGGAAGCAGCAGATGAAAAGTTACCCGTGAGCTCGTATTTCTTGTGGGGCTGGTTCTCCATCTCACGGAAGGAGCTGCTGCGCTTTGGAGGTGTGGGGGCATTCCTCTTCTTCATAAAGGAGCTGAAAAAGCCACCCTTTCTGTCCCTGGTGAAAGTGGTCTCTTTGGCGTCTTCCAAGAGGCCACTGGGAGACTTGTCCCTTTGCTTGCGAGGCAGTGCTGGTGATCCACTTGTTGGCTGTGTGCTTCTGATAAACCCTAAAGACAAGAAACAGATGTGAATAAAGAATTGATGAAAACTCTAACTCACCCTCCAGCCTGAAACACTTGGACTGTCCAAATCTAAAGAGCTTTCTTCTGAAAAAATGTAACTTAGTGCACATCTGGTGTTCTTAGGCAAATGATTAACTCAGAAAAATAAGTACAAGTTCACTTGACAGAAAATGTATGAGAAAATCAAAATCCACTTTTGTCTTCTACTTTCTTATTTCCTTTCTTTTCCCTGAACATATAGAACTGACAAAACATTGCAACAGGGTTTTTTCCCCCCACTTTACAGCAATAAAAGTGAAATTAAAAAGGAAGGTTTAAAAAAAAGAGTAAATTTACCAAAATTAAAACTGCAAAGGTTTTCTGGAGCCTGGTAAAATATCTGTCTGCTGAGGCTAAAGCCATTCCCTGAGGCAGAGCTGCTTAAAATGCACTAGTACAGGGGTGGCCAACTCATTTAACAAAGAGAACCAAAATAGCGGCAGAAAAAATGTGAAGAATTGTCAAGTGCAAAAAGAAAAAGAAAAAAATAGGAGACTGCCCCTTTAAGAAACACGCTTAGACTTTTTGGCCATATCAGGCTCCCATTGACAGCCGCCATCTTCAGCGCCATTTTGAATGGTGAGCACAAGGGGGCCGTGGGCGGGGGGGAGCACAGGAGCGGCTTCACAAGCTGCATTTTTTGGGGGAGAAGAGCCGCATGCGGCTTGCCCACCCCTGCACTAACATGGCATGACAGAGATCACCAGGCTTTGAGTCAGGCAGAAGTCACAAGTGAAATAAGCCTAACGAATTCAGTAACAAGTTCTTGGAAATCTGTTATCACACAAAGACTGCTTCCCAAGATGGAACAATTATTGAACTCTGAGTCCTACAATGATGTAGCACCTTCTTTTCAATGATGCTAGAAATTCCTCCATTTGACTAGTAATTTCTGCACACATACTGTGACCAAAAGGTCCAAACTTGTTCTGTACCATTTCATACCATTCACAGCCATACTGCTTTTCTCCATCTTGGAATCCTCCTCTGGGTATCAGCAGCTTTCCCAAGAAATCAAGCGTTTCCTCAATCTGATCATTCCCCTGGGCTACTCCAGGAACAGTAACAGAGCCAGCATTTACTGGCCCTGTACATGCTCAAGGCTGTGTTGCTTTTTCCTCTTACCTTAACAGTGCAAATTGAATGATATGACTATATCTAGTTGAGTCTATTTGAGGAGTTATTAAACCTACAAGCCATACTGCTAAATTACACAGGGCAGGTGCTCAGCTAGTATAAATGGTTCATAGTTCCTTTGACTTTTAGTAGAGCTATAACAATTCACAACAGCTGAGGATCTGCCCCACACCTTCCTGGTCACGCTGATGCTTTCATTGTGCCCATACCTGGTGCTGAGCTGGAAGCGGAATGCTCCACAGTATCTTGTGTTCCTTCAATATTCTCCTTGTTCTCCGCCTGTTTCTTCAGAGTCCTAGTTTTTGAGGGAAGCATGGGTAACCGGGGCAAATAGGGAACAATAGATGACGAAGAGGCTGTTCTTCCAAGTTCCTCTGCCACCTCTGTGAGAAAAGCCAGGGGAAAAGTCAGAATAGAGAACAGAAGAGGAAAGGTAGAGTCTGCATCTTTATAACAGGGACTGGACTGGACAGAAGAGAGGCATCACTTAGCAACTGATTAAGCCACTAGGGCACACTGTGTATTGGCTATCCCACCTCTCCTTGGGTGGGCAGGACTAGAACCTGCCACCCTGCACTCCTCAGATGAACGCCCTATCCCCTAGGGCCAACTTTGCTCTTCCAAGACCCAGGATGCTGATGATAGTTACTTACCAATGATCGCAAGGTAACTCATTTACATTTTTAAGTTCAGCAACTACGCCCTAACCAAAGAGTTCTAAAAAGTGGCCTCTAACTTTAACAGGGAGCAGCAGCCTACAGGGCCCCCCCAATGCAGGTTCCTGTTAGACCTAAGAAGAAGGTTGCAGGGCTCAAGATGTAGGACACTTTTCTCTAATGTATACCAGGTAGGTAGGTCCTTAAAGCTCATGGCAATTTGCCAGGCTGCTGCTGGTCTGGGCAAAGTCTGACTGCCCCTATTCTACGCCATCACTGGGAAATTTTAGACAGGAGTATTTTCTGGGGCAGGAAGTGAATAGACCAACTTCATTTACAGTTACAGTTACAAAGACTGTTAGGAGGTGCCGAGGTACTCTTCTCTACTGGCTAATACTGTGCAATGTGTTTCAGACAATGGGCTTGTCTACTCTACACTATAGATAATGGCAGTATAAAGTTATGTCGCTCGGAAGTGCAACTAACCTCCCCCCCAGCATCATAAGTTATGCTAATCTAAGTGTCCTCGTGGACAGTGCTGTCCGTGGGAAAGCTGCTGCCACTGCTTGTGGGGAGTGAATTAATTCAGTCAACCAGAGAACTCTCGTTTGTTGGCATAGACAGTGGTGCATCATCACCAGGTGTTAGAGTTGCATTGGTGCAGCTGCCCTACTGTAGCAGTTCTAGCGCACAGTAGCCCTAAGATTTATTTTCTAGCTATGTCCAGGGGATTATTGCATCCATGTGTTGCTGGTAATGGCACATTAGGAAAATCTGATTTCAGAGACTAAAACAGACTATTTTGTGAAAATTTTGTATTTATATTCACACAATTTCTGAAGTAAAAAATATAAACCCTACATGTTTCACACCCACCTTCCTCCCTTGGGCCCCTGGATGGTAGTCAGACTTAGGTCTGCAATGGAAGAAGAGTTTTATTTTTTCTAAAAATCTCTCCTATTTATAACTGAATGAATTACTTTTGTTTCCCTGGAAGTATTTCTACAGTGTATCTAATCTCATTGCAATGAATATGAACACAAGTTTGCACATTAGCAGAATACAGTCCAGTGGCCTCTAGCAAGGTGAACACCAATAGAGGTGTGATCAACCTGCCTCAGCGAAACAGTGCCCTGGAGGTGAAACTCCACTCCCAACATTTCAAGCACAGCAGCATGGGTACTTGCCTTCAGAGATGCTGGAGTCATGGAACATTGTTTCAAAGGCTTGATGGGTCTCAGCAAAGGATGGTCGGTCTGTGGGATTCCACTTCCAGCCTGCAGCACGAGAAAACGGGAAAGCTCTCAGTTCACAGGAAGAGTGGAAAATCTAGTATTCTCACTGAAAAAAGGAAGAAAAGCCTCCAACCTACTAAATAACTGCTGATGGACTGTACGATCCTATTGCTACACTGGCTGTGGAATAGGTCCTAAGTAAAGCACTGGTGTGGTGTTGATAGGTCAGGAATTACATCATTTGATTTAAGCCCAGCACCATGTCACTGACATAAGTTTTTCCAAACTTTTTTTTTTTTTTTACATTCAAAGGGAGTTTTTCCTTGTTCGCTACCTCAGCCCTGGAGACTGAACTCTTATCCAGCTACAGAAGAAGTATTGATAGCCCCAGCAGTACAAACGTTCAGCAATGAACCACTGATATTTTTAAACATTGCTGGGGGCCTATAGTGGGGTCTATAACCCCACGTAGGGCAACGAAGGGTTAAGGAGTTGCCAGCCTTAGCCTACCACACCTGCAAGAGAAGTTCAAAGGGGAGCAGAAGAGCTCACTTATGGGGAGACCAGGGAAGAGGACAGGCCTTCCAATGTTCCCTCCTGCAGAAGTGGCTACAGCAAGGCAAGATCTTTCCTGAAAACAACTGCCTGAAGATCCCTCCCGCAGGGGAGTGAAGGCCTGATGTCCTGTGAGAGGCATTCTGCTCCCTTTTGTACTAACTCAGCTTGTGCTAATTCCCTGGCTTTTTGTGGCGGACTACCCGCATGGCCAGTCACAGGAAGACCCAGGCCACCACTAGCCAGCAGATACAGCCCCCAAGGAAGAGAGAGCTGCCACTTACGAAGGGCTAGTATAATTCAGTCGGCAGGAGCTACGTGGGCCTCAGCCTCTGCTGACATTTCCAAAGGCGCCATCTAGTAACAGTAGTAATGGTGATTTTCTGAAGTGGACATGTGCACACTCAGACCCTGGCTTGACACCATCACACTCATTTCACACAGTCAAGCACACACCCATCTGGTGGATGGTGAAAGTTTTTAAGCCAGCTGATTTGGAGTGGCAGACTCCACAGCCTATTATAGACACCCTCCATCTACCCAGAATCTCCTATTTTGCTGCCAAATCGAAAGTGAAAGGAAATACTCACATGCCCTCATCAGTTCATAAACCTTTGGAGGGCACCCCTCTGGCTGTTCCATCCGATATCCCTTCTCCAGCAAATCGTACACCTGTGAGAGGTCAATACCTGGGTATGGTGACATCCCGTAAGTGGCAATTTCCCATAAGAGCACCCCAAAGGCTGCAAAAAGAGGAAAAATAGGCCATGATTATCAATCTGTCTCTTCTCTTCCATTGTCTGAATGCTACTGCGCTTTCTACTGTGACAAAGCACTCTCTCCTCTGAAGGTACTTTTCAGGACAGCCTGTGGGGAAGGTGGAGGGAGAGTTTAGCATGCTAAAAGTATTGCTGCGTTTTGGAGTAGTGCCCTAGCCTGGTATCACAGCACATCCCTCTCACAGCAGCCTAAGGAATCAAAGGTGCCCGCTACCCGGGCTCACATAGCAGAGGGCTTTGCATATGGGGAGTCCTTTCCTTCTTACCCCACACATCTGATTTAATGGAGAAGGTGTTATAGGCCAGGCTCTCGGGTGCTGTCCACTTGATAGGAAACTTGGCTCCAGCATGAGCTGTGTAGGTATCTCCAGTCATCAGTCGACTTAAGCCGAAGTCAGCCACTTTCACCACATGGTTTTCTCCCACCAAGCAGTTCCGGGCCGCCAGGTCCCTGTGTGAGGGAGAAGAGATGCAGTGGCAGAGGTGTAAACATTCAGAACTCTTGATCCCAACACACGTGTGGAATGGGCTTTAAAAGGTCTTTGCGCACCGACTGCCGGGCCACAGGCACAATTTATTTGTAATAATTTTACAGTCTGCAGTTTGTCTAACGTATACTAATTGTAGCCTTCAGCAGTCTGCCACTGACACTACCAGCACCTAGTGGTCAACTGGCCACTCCACTACCTATCCCTTTAGGGGTCTGGGAGGGTCCAGCAGATGCATATAGAAACCTGGGGATCTTTGGAAGCAATGGTGCTTGGGGGAAGGAATCTGGACCTCGTGCTTTCAAGGGATTGAAACCTTGCAGAGATGGTTAGGTGAGGCTTCCCTCTCACTCGCCCAACTGGGAAGGAACATGCGCTGGCAGGAGAAGGCGGGACCCATGGGAGTGGAAGGCTGTGAAGTGTGGAAGAGTGTTCAGCTGAAGGAAATTAGCAAAAGCCTTGCAGCTGTTTCAAGTCACAACTCCTGCTCCAGAGAAAGTGCTGGGGAGGGAATGCCTGCTTAAAGGAAGGCAAGACTGATTAGCCTAAAGCTAGGAGATAACCCTAGCTCCAGAGAGGGCGATCCTGCTTCAGGGAAGGTAGGACTGGCTAACCTGAGTCAAAGAGGCCTAGGGTGGTATTATAACTCTATAGAGACAAGGCTGAAGGGGAAAGATTGACTAAGACCCAGGCAAAAGATAGAGGAGTTCCTTGCCACAGCCTAGATGCTATGAGCAGATTCAAGGGGGTATCACTGTAGCTGCCAAAGAACCATTATTCTGTGCCGATTATGCTTCAACTGCTGTTTTGTGTCTAGTTTTGGGTACCACACGTGAGAAAAAAATGTGTACCAACTGGAGAAAGTCCAGAAGAAAGCAACAAAAATTAATTAGAGAGAGAAGACATGACCTATGAGAGAAGTTTGAAAAAACTGGGTTTGTTTAGTCTGGAGAAGAGAAGACTGAGGGTGAATGTAACAGTTTTCAATTATATAAAAGGGTGTTACGAGGCGGAAGAAAAATTATTCTCATTAACCTCTGAGGACAGAACAAGCAGCAATGGGTTTAAACTGCAGCAAGGGCAGTTTAGGTTGGAAGTTAGAAAAAAGCCTTCCTGTT